GATACCGCTTTGTACATTGTCTAGTAGGAAGTGTTTCCTCTTTGTGAGACTACATAATCCTGGCTGTCCATTTCCTATTAGTCTTATTGTGCGCTGGAGAGGTGGTGGAAATATGAGTGGTGTCTTCTGGTCGATGGTGCGTTAAGTGGACATCGCTCTATCAAGGAACTTTTCGAATGTGGGAATGCTTTTCACGGACTGATACACATGATCGTGGCTTTTTTCCAAGGTTCCCGGGTCGGGAATCTGAACTACTCAAGATATCAATAAAGAATCCATCCACCCAAACTATATATCGCTGAATAGGGGTGCCGCATATCTAGAACACTGCTGTTGTTTTGCTTGATTAGGCAAATTCAAAAGAGAGTCCAATTACTTGGGCTTCTGAGAATGCACCGTACCTGCTTTGCTTTCAGTTCTGAGGCATCTACCTTCCACTATTTTAGGTCACTTGCAATACTACTACATCTTGGGGCTGGATGTCACGGCTTCACGTTTTAACGCCTATGCCCCCAAATATCCATTGTTAAACTTGACAGGCGTGGTGTACCTTTCAGGGCCATCTCCCATATATCCATGGGCTTTATTAGCTTTTTCATGGAAGGCTAAGTTCTGTGGATGCTTTAGATGTGTCATCGGCAGAGGCCAAAGTAAGGTTAGCGTCAATGTCTTTGGTAATGCACGACCCTTTGTTAGAAACGGCTTCCTTTCGAGTCCGCTGTGTCCTTCGACGGTTCGCTTCCCAACCGTCCTAATCACATGCTTTAAAAATCTGTCTTTAGTTGCATGGACCATGTTTGCTCAGTGAGTTGTGTACCGGTCTTTCAAACACCCACTCCCATCTACGTGAAGATGTCCGACGGTAGACTGAGTGCTACGGCCTTCTGGATTATTTTGTGTAGTCAGGGGCCTGTTAACTCAGAGTTGACAAAGCCAGCTCAATGCCACTGGACTAGGCCTCCGTTTCTGAAGCGAAAAATATTCATAGATGTGAGACTGTTAATTCTTGTTTTTCTTCCTCATAAGCACATATGTGTATTGATTTCGATGAGATTATCGAACCCATTCTCAGCAGACTGCTCCGTAGAAACACATCGAAATGGGGGTGCAAGTGTAGCGACCCAGTCACCCACATACTTGACTGTTCAACTCAGCCGTTCACTGGATCGCGAGGCTTGTCTTTTTTCTCATACGCACAAACACGTCGCATTAAGCTGACTCATCGGACATCGATTGTCTGCACCGCCTAGTCAGCGTAGCGACCAATCATGTGACGACGCGCCCACGTTTACGCACTGGGACCTACATAAAGAGAAACCAAACCCAGTCAAGACACAGACTCGCGCGCGCGCGCA